CCTGCGCAGCCCACCCCTTCCCCGGGGTCACCTGCCGGGGTCACCCACCCGAGGAGCAAATCTGAACCTGGCCTTGCCCTGGATCCGCCCACCCGGGAGCCACCCACCCACGATCGCCCACCCGAGAGGCCGTACCCCGACCTGGACGCTCCCTGGCCCCGCCCGCCGGGGGGGTCACCCGCCCGAGGGTCACCCGCCTGGGTTGGCGTCTAACCTGAACCTCACCGGGCCCGACGTGCCGCCCACCCGGGCTAGTGTTTAAGCTGGGCTCTGGCCCCGCCCACCTGGGTGGGGGGTCGTCTCCGGGCCTGGCCCCGCCCCCCGGGGGGTCGTATCCGAACCTAGACCTGCCCTGGCACCGCCTACCCGGAGGTCATACCTGGACCCGGACCTGCACTGGCCCCGCCCACCCGGAAGTCGTGCCGGGACCTGGACCTGCACTGGCCCCGCCCTCCGGGGGCCGTCTCCGGACCTGGCCACGCCCGCCCGGGGGTCGTGTCCGAAACCAGACCTCTTGGGGTCACGCCCCACCCTGTACTCCTCGGCCTTGGGGTCACTCCCCAGGTTGTCCAGAGTCTGGTTCCCCCTTGGCCCCAACCTCCCTCTGTTTTCGGTCTCCGAACCCAGCCGCCGCCAGGGCCGTGCGGACGCAGGCAGCCTGGCACTCCGGCCCGGGCCGTGCCCCGGTGGCCCAGGGCACCAGGGCGGGGCGGCAGACTCGGCCGCCAGGGCTGCCAGCCCCAGCCTGACCGCAGCCCGAGGGCCAGGCTGCAAATAGCCGCGGTTTTCAGCCCGGGCTCTGCCTGCCTCCCTCCGGGGCTTCCGGACCTTGGGGTTTTCTCTCCCCTTTTCCCCTCTGTGCGATGCCTTCCCTTGGTTCCCGCTGGCGCCCACCACATCCTGCCCCACGCAGGGAGGTTCCCGAGCCAGCGAGGCCAGGAGCAACGGGCCAAGATGGCAGAGCTAGGCCCAAGATCCTGCAGGACTAATAATCCAACTGAGTCAGGGCTGGGCTTTTGCTCCGAGCCTGGCACTGTGCTGAGTACGTCAACGGCACTTATGAAATGTTTCCTGCGCCCAGTCTGCAGACGAGGAAACTGGGATTCAGATATTCCTGAGGAGCTAAGGTCATCCTTAGCTGAAGTTAGAGAAGGCCATCTCCCCCGTTCAGAGTCGCACGCCGTGACCATCAGCAGCCCAGCCGGTGAGGTACTAATGGAAGATGAGATTGGAGAGAAGCTAGTCTGCTACTGATTCACAAAGTAATTTAGAGCAAGCCCACCCTGTCCCCGTTTGCACGTGTAAAATGAAGAGGATGAAATACAAAACTGTTCCCTGTTAGGGAAGAACTTTCTAGAAACCGTGGGAAACCCAGCTGCTAGTGAGAAGCATCAGCTGCTGAGGGAGAGATAGTGTACTGCCTTCCTGCACAGCTGAAAGTCCACCATCCCAGGCTCTTCCATTAGGCTGAGCCAGGAAGTCTGTATTTTAGCCAAAGCTGGGATTCTAAAGCCATTTAGACTTGGACCCACCACATATATTCCTGGAAGAGGGCATGCATCTCCAAATACTCCATACTCGGGGCTAGGAGTGTGGCTTAATGGTAGAGTGCTTGCCTAGCATGCATGAAGCCCTGGGTTCCATTCCTCAGTGCCACATGCACAGAAAAAGACAAAAGTGGTGCTGTGGCTCAAATGGTAGAGTGCTAGCCTTGAGCAAAAGAAGCTCAGGGATAGTGCCCAGGCTGAATTCAAACCCCAGGAGTGGAAATAAATAAATACTCCACACTCCCCTGTGTGGTTGTGCCTGGACTTAGAGTGAGCATGTTTATTATGGACCTACTGTGTGCCCAACATTGGCTCTGGCAGCCCCTTCTTAGAAACTCATAGCACAAATCTCTACCACATGGCTGACTAGCAGAGCTGCCCTGAAACCCAGCTGGCCAGTTTGCGAAAAGGAGCCAAGCACTTTTTTCCAGGGCTGTGTGCTATCTTGAACTAAGGCTGTGTAGCTCAGGGATCAGAGAAAGGGCTGGGTTACACTTCCACTCTCCTCTTCAGCAGCTGCCCTTGTGTAGGGTACAACCTGTACTGCCTCTCTCTCGAAGCAGCCCAGGGATAGCCACAGAGATTGAAATGTCAATTAACTCCTGCTGGAGACAGGAGTAGATACAGATTAATTCTAGCAAAGAGGTGAACAAACTTCAAGGATGGGTACAAGTTTGCCATATGGAAAGGAAAGTAGAGGGTGAGGCAAAATGATGAGGGCAGGAAATGGAGGTTTGTCTCAGGAGCAGGGGGTGAAGTGGTTTGGGGTGACCATGACGGGCACACTGAGAAGGCAGGCACCCTCTACCCTTGCTCTCCCCCTCAATGCTGCCATATGCCAAACTAGAGTTGGCTATCTGCCAACCAGAGATCTCCTTACCTGTACTGAGTGAGGCTGTAGAACAGGGACAATGTTTTAGTCATCTTTGGCGAGACAAGTGTCAATAATAGTAATAATTATAGTTAACGGGCATTAAATATTCACCACTACCCACTGTGCTAAGTGCTTCACATGCATTAGTCCATGTCATCTTCCAACTCTGGAAACAATGTTGTTATCAATTCTGTCTCACCCATGAGGGCTATAAGGGGTTGAGGGGCTAAATAATGTGCCAGATTTCGCCCAGCTATTCCATGATGGGCTAGAAGTGGAATTCAGGTCTCTGACCACAAAGCCCTTTGTTCTGGAGTAGTGGATGGATGACAGACAGATGGATAAGTGGATGGGTAGGCAAAGCATGGACCTAGACAGACAAGGATTGAATGCTAAGCTAGGGAATTTAGCACGTATGTCAAGGCTACTGGGAGATGTTGGAAGGCTGAAAACAAACAAGACAACATTAGGGATGCAGAGCAATCATTTTGACAACAGTGGAAAGATAGCTTAGGGTCAATGACATTTGAGGTAGGAGGCCATTTCCCTGGTAAATCCCAGTTCTTAATTGTAAAGAGCCTCTTTTCTTTTTCTTTTTCTTTTTGGTCGGTCATGGGGCTTGAACTGTGGGCTTGGGCACTGTCCCTGCGCTCTTCAGCTCAAGGCGAGTGCTTTACGTCTTGAGCCACAGCACCACTTCCGGTTTTCTAGTGCTTTATTGGAGATAAGAGTCTCATGGACTTTCCTGCCCAGGCTGGCTTTGAACCGTGAGCCTCAGATCTCAGCCTCCTAAGTAGCTAGGATTACAGGCGTGAGCCACCGGCGCCAAGCTTTGGAGCCTCTTTTCTGGAGCCTCTTTTCTTAAAGCAATTCTTTCTCTCTCCTCCAGCAAGATCTGTCTCTCTCTCTCCTTCCCTTCTTTCCTCTTCCCCTACCCACTTCCTTCCTTTCTCTCCATCTCTATGTAGTCTAGACTCACCATGAACTTGTAATCTTTCTGCTTCAGCCGCCAAGTACTGGGATTATAGACATGCCCTACCACGTCTGGCTCATGATACATTCGTTTGCTTGTTTTTTGTTTTTGTGCATTGTTTTTTTAATGTGTATGGTATGTAGGTGGGGTGTATGCCAGTACCGAGGCTTGAACTTAGGGTCGGGGGGCTGTCCCTTAGCTTTTTCACTCCAGGCTGGTGTTCTACCACTTGAGCCATAGCTCTACTTCTGATTCTTTTTTTTTTTTAATTGGAGAGAAGAGTCTCATGGTATGTCAAACTTCAATCCTCAGATCTCAGCCTCTTGAGTAGCTAGGATTGCAGGCATGAGCCACCAGTGCCTTGTTTTCAAGACATATTCTTTAAATACACACACATACACACACACAGACTATGATTGAGGGTTTGAGGAAAATGAAGTAAAAGAGGAGCTCAGAAAGGGGAAGGGAAGGGAAGAGGTGGAATCCTGGGGAGAGTACAGAAAGAGAGACCACACAATCCCCTTCCCTTCCCTGCTCCCAGGTTGCTCCAGGCCCCACACAGTGTGCCTTTGTACACCTGCCTGGGCGAGAATCCAGGGAAAGGGAGTATTGCATCAGAGATTAGGTGTTGGGGCGGCTGTGGGAGGTCCAGTCCCTCGTCTGGAGCAGCTCCAGGTGTCACTGGCCAGGGAGGGAGGTGAGAGCCACAGGATTTGGCTCAGGGCTCAGATAAGCTGAAGGGTTGAAGCAGAAGAACTGAAGGTGTGGAGGACAGAGAGCTTCCTACCTACTACCGACTCTCAAGCCACCAAAAGGGAGTCAGAACCTGCTGGAGGAGGCATCTTCAGGCAGGCCCCCGATAGAGCCATCTCGCCATGCTGCCCTGCCTCACCCTGGTCTTCCTGATGGTGCTGCCTGTGTGCATCATGGCAAAAGACAGTGGACAGAAACTGATACTCAACACAGAAGCAGAGCCCTTGATAACCGTGACTCTAGAGGTACCTTTGGGGAGAGGGCCGGGGATGACCTGTGGTGGAGGGGCAGAAGATCTCTCCCAGGGCTGCTAGGAGAGCAGGCTGTGTACTGCAAAACCAAGGCAAGTTGGCTGAGTCCTTCTGTGGGGAGGTTCCAGATATGAGCGCCAGATTATCAAAGGTATATGCAGAGAGAGAAAGAGAGAGAGAGAGAGAGAGAGAGAGAGAGAGAGAGAGGGAGAGGGAGAGAGTAGAAACACTTATTTAACTATGCTATGTTCCTGGTACTGTCCTAAATGCTTTTTTTTTTTTTTTTTTCGGTCGTGGGGCTTGAACTCTGGGCCTGGGCGCTGTCCCTCAGCTCTTCAGCTCAAGGCGAGCACTCTACCGCTTGAGCTACAGTGCCACTTTCGGTTTTCTGGTGGTTCATTGGAGATAGGGGTCTCACGGTCTCTCCTGCCCGGGCTGGCTTTGAACCGCAATCCTCAGATCTCAGCCTCCTGAGTAGCTAGGATTACAGGCGTGAGCCACCAGCGCAGGGCCCTAAATGCTTTTTAATCATTAACTCATTTTACCTTCATTTCAACCTCATGGCTGTGGTACCATTATCATCCCCATATCAGAGACAAGGAAACTGAGGCACAAAGAAATCAAGAAAGTTGAAGCACAGCTTCAAAAGCACAACTATTACTGGCTGCTGTGGCTCACACCTAGCTACTCAGGCTGAGATCTGAGGATCTCAGTTCAAAGCCAGCCAAAGCAGACAAACCTAGAAAGACTTATTTCCACTTAACCAGTAAAAAACTAGGATTGGAAGTGTGGCTCAAGTGGTGGAGTGCTTACCTGGAGCAGGTATGAATCCCTGAGTTCAAACACCAGTACTATCAAACACACATACAGAGACAAAAACACACAGATACACACACATTTGTCCAAGCTCTGATTCTGTGATATACATTAGAGATTTTCCAGAGTTTCCTATGGGGGCTTTAACTCAGAGCAAGATCACTATTGCTTATCACATATAGAAAGGCTTATCTCCTGACAAACATTGGTTTGGTAGTGGTCTCTGCTATGGAATCCCTGAGTGCAAGTCATCAGGGAGACCCCACCCTGATATCTGATGTATCTGACCACTGGCACGAAGACCTCGACCTTGGAGCTTTCTTTACAGGAAAACCCATGGACAGCCCTTCCTGGTGGGTTTCTAGTATGGACATGTCAGTGGGGCCTGGGAGATCCAGGTTCAAGCCTTTCCACCAACTCCTGCTGCTCTCTAGGCCTCTGTTTCCTTACCTGCAACATTCAGGGAGAGAAAAGATGATCCCAAAGCTCTTTCTGGAGCTGTAAGCTGGCAGTCAATGCCAAATATCTGAGTATCTGGCTGAGCTTTGAGAAGCTCTGCTGGCTGATGTGATGAGGAGCTTGATGTAGCCATTTGGGAAGTGGCATCAACAGCCAGTAGCTCATCCTGCAGTGGGCAACAACAATCCTTTCTCCTTTTACTCTCCTTCAGCTTCTCTCTGCATCCCAAGACTTGTGGTTTGGAAGGCAGGAGGGGAGGCTAGGTGGGTAGAACTTACACTGTGAATAATGCTATGTATAACTACAAAGGTGGTGGAAGAGCCGGGCGCCGGTGGCTCACGCCTGTAATCCTAGCTACTCAGGAGGCTGAGATCTGAGGATCGCGGTTCAAAGCCAGCCCGGGCAGGAGAGACCGTGAGACTCCTATCTCCAATAACCACCAGAAAACCGGAAGTGGCGCTGTAGCTCAAGTGGTAGAGCGCTCGTGAGCTGAAGAGCTGAGAGACAGTGCCCAGGCCCAGAGTTCAAGCCCCATGACCGACAAAAAAAAAAAAAAGGTGGTGGAAGAAGAGAGGCACTTTCAGGGTGATCTGATCACTTCCAAGGCTCCCATCTGCAGTCATCCTGGGCTTTGGGGCTTTGGCTGGGGCTTTGGGATATGGAGGGCTTGGGTGGGGGGGCAGGAATCCTTGCCAAGTGAAAGGGAGCAGACACGTTCTACTCCTCCCTACTCCCCCACCTCCCACCCCTGCAAAAAGCTGGTGGGTGAGAAAAGGGTCAGTCCTATTTTAATTCATAAAGGGCCATTCTCTCTAACTTGCATTTGAAGGCTGCCTCTTACCAAGGCAAAGTGGTTTTCATGAGCTTTTCAGAAATGGGTCTAAATCTCCAAAGAGACTTTTCTGGTTTCTGGCCAGGCTGGGAGACTCCAGCCAGAGACAGCCATTGACAATCCCTGGGAGGAGACAAATTAGAAGTGACTGAATTAGTCCAAGGCTTAGAGAACAATGCACTCCTGAAAGTTGGGATGAGACGACTGATAAAAGGCACACGGGTCATCACTGTGGGCCTCAGGATCCTAGCACTGTCACTGAGAAAACATAAAGAAAGCCCCTGATTCATCCCAGCCTTGGGCTGGAACTTGAATGTCTCCAGAGCTGTTCACCTGTCTTCAGCCTTGCTGGAAAAGGAGACCCACCCCATTTCCATCCCTTTCCCCACCCCCATGGCCAGACTGCCCTAGACTTTCTCTTTAGTGTCCCAAGACACTGTGAGAGAGCTTTGGCCAATTAGCTTTGGCTAATGGAGGAGTAGGAACTTAAATCCACTGCCCTTAGGTCAGGATGTTTAACCTTAACTCAAGGATTAAAAAGTCCTTGTCCAGGGGCTGGGAAGGTGGCTCATTGGTAGAGTGCTTGCAATGCATGAGGCCCTGGGTTCGATTCCTCAGCACCACATAAGCAGAAAAAGCCGGAAGTGGGGCTGGGAAGGTGGCTCAGTGGTAGAGTGCTTGCCTTGCATGCATGGGGTCCTGGGTTCAATTCCTCAGCACCACATAAGCAGAAAAAGCCGGAAGTGGCACTGTGGCTCAAGTGGTAGAACGCTAACCTTGAGCTTAAGAGCTCAGGGACAGCACCCAGAGTTCAGGCCCCATGACCAACAACAACAAAAAAAAAATCTCTGTCCAAAGCAAGAGCTCTACCCCAGATCACAGCCATGATTCTCCTGAGAGACCAGACTCTAGGGATAAGAACCTGGGGAACACAGGAGGAGCCAGAATTAGAGTGGGGGGCAGGAAGGGGAAACCCCTTTGAGTTCAGTGGTGATCACCCCTCATTGTCTGTGTTGGAAACATTTCCTAAGGTGAATCACATGGGCTCTGGGGTAGATTTTTTTTGGGGGGGGGTCAGTTGTGAACTCAAGGCCTGGGTGCGGTCTGATAGGGTAAATTAGACTTTGCCAGAGAACCACGCAGACATCCAGGTACAGAGAACAAAGAAAGGTTTATTGTCTGGAAAGGGGCGGGCAAGACTCCTTCTCACAAGGGAGAAGTGCAAAGAAGCTCTGACTATTGTCTGAGGTGAGCTACATAACCTAGGAGGCTTAGGAGGGGCTAGAAGGGGCTAGGAGGCGGAAACCCTGGGGTAGACATGTGGGCCAGGGGCTTCATCATGGTGGACGAGGATTTCTGGCTGCTGTCCAAATAGTAGATAAGGGTCCTACAACTTCCCAGACCTGAAGGTCACTCTAAGGGGCTCCTGTTGCCTTATATGGTGGTAGCTGCCCCAGAGAATTGCCATCCCAAAGTAGAGGGGGTTGGAGGCTGATTATTTACTGCTTTTACTACATGGGCCTAGTGTTGCCTAGGAAAGGGGAAGGAGTGGACTAAGCTCTGAGAAGGGAACTCATTTTGCTAACACTGTCCCTGAGCTCTTCTTTATTTTTGGTCTGGTCATGGGGCTTGAACCCTGGGCCTGGGCGCTGTCCTTCAGCTCTTCACCTCAAGGCTAGCACTCTACCACTTGAGCCACAGCACCACTTCTGGCTTTTTTTTCCTGCTTATGTGGTGCTGAGGAATGGAACCCAGGGCCTCATGCATGCAAGGCAAGCGCTCTACCACTGAGCCACCTTCCCAGCCCCCTGAGCTCTTCTTGAGGCTAACACTCTACCACTTTTAGCTACAGCACCACTTCCAGTTTTCTGGTGGTTCATTGGAGATAGTCTCACGGACTTTCCTGACCATCTGGCTTTAACTGTGATCCTCAGATCTTAGTTTCCTGATTAGCTAGGATTACAGGTGTGAGCCACTGGCTCCCTGCTGAGGCAGACTTTTGAATCCTGATCCAGCTACTTGTGTGAACTTGGACAAATAAACCATCTCACTCTGTTTCCACATTTGGAAAATAGATAGAGATCCTTGTCTCTCTTCCTGATCGTGGTTGTGGACATGGAAAGAGTAAGATTATAACCGTAGTGCCCAAGAGCTCAGCCTTTGGTCCAGAGGCCCTGGGTTCAAGTTCTGGCTGTATCTCTCACTGCTTAGCTGGATGACTTGGGACATGTTCATCTCTCTATATTTCTATCTGTCAAATGGTGACAGCAATTGTATTGGGTTTTATTTTCATAGGGTTTTGGTAAGGATCAAGTGAGTTACTATAGTAAAGTACACAGAGAAGTGTCAAGAGTATAGGAGATAAAAATGTTAGCTAATAACTATGCATAATATGGCGTGAAATAGAAAAAAAGAGTGCCCAGTGCCAGCACAGAGCAATGTCCAATGACTGTGAGCTACTGTTGGGATGATTGTTGCTCAGTCCCCTGGCAGCCTCCCTCTATTCTAACACTAACTCTTTGCTTCTTTAGGGAGGTGCTGGTCCTAGCATTCAACTCCAGCTGCAGAAGGCAAAGAGAAGCAAGAACAGACAGTTCTTTGGGCTCATGGGAAAGAGAGTGAAAGGTGAGTGAGGAAGGCAGCAGGAGCTGCAACACTAAGCAGAGGATCTAGATAGATGCCCACGAGCTGAGAGCAGTTACTCCAAGCCAGTAGAGGTCGCTCTCAACACCATCTAACCAGGATACATTAATAATGACAACAGAGGCCTTTTGTAGGCATCTGAGGAGCTGGGCACCTTAAGGTAGAGCCAATGCTTTGCATCTTGGTTGGTGACCTTGTCTACTTGTACCTGGGTGATTTGGGTGAGTGAAGCTAGAAGCTAGTAGATGTGAGCAAAGCCATAAGCAAAGCTTTCTAGTTGGTTCTGTGCGGCCCAACCAGAATGTTATTAAAATTCTGTGTTTCCATTTTCAATGAGGTAGTCCTGTCCTGGGAGGACAGGGAGGAAACAGGCTAGGTAGAAAATTGTTTTCTCTTTGTTGCCTGTCTTAGGGTTTGAACTCAGGGCCTGGGTTCAAGATCCACAGCTTCACTTCTAACTTTTTGGTGGTTAATTGAAAATCAGACTGTCATGGACTTTCCTGCCCAAGCTGGCTTTGAACTACAATCCTCAGGACTGGGCCTCCTGGATAGCAGAGATTATAGCACCTGGCTAACATTTTTTTTTTTTTTTTTGGCCATGGGGCTTGAACTCAGGGCCTGAGCACCATCCTTGAACTCTTTTGCTCTATGTTACACTCTACCACTTTGAGCCATAGCTCCACTTCTGATTTTCTGGTGGTTAACTGAAGATAAGAGTCTCACATGCCAGGCGCTGGTGGCCCATGCCTGTAATCCTAGCTACTCAGGAGACTGAGATATGAGGATCACAGTTCAAAGCCCAGGCAGGAAAGGCCGTGAAAAACACTTATCCCCGGAAGTGGCGATGTGGCTTAAGTTGTAGAGCACTAGCCTTGAGCCAAAGAGCTGAGGGACAGCGCTCAGGCCCAGAGTTCAAGCCCCATACTAAAAAAAAAAAGAGGCTCACAGATTTGCTGACTTTGAACCACAATCTTCAGATCTCAGCCTCCTGAGAGGATTACAGGTGTGAACCACCCATGCCAGGCTAACATTTTATTTTCTTAGGTGACTAAGCTCAGTGTTGGTGAGGGGTGAGGAACCTGCAGCTATTCATAGTCCATTTGGAGGACACCTTAGCCACATCCATTGAAGTCAGAAATACACATTCCTTTGATTAATAGTTTCAAGTCAGGAAGTCTGTCAAGTAGATATGATATTGTAATAGCAAGGATTACAAGCATGAGCCACTGACAATGGCCACTGACCATTGCGTGCCTATATTCCTAGCTACTCAGGAGGCTGAGATCTAAGAATCTTGGCTCAAAGCTAGCCGGGGCAGGGAAGTCCACATCTCCGGTTAATACAAAGAGCCAATGGAGGTGTCGGTCAAGTAGTAGAATGTTAGGCTTGAGCAAAAAAGCTAACGGAGAGTGCCGAGGCCCTGAGTTCAAGCCTGGTACCATCACAAAATAAATGAATAAGAATGAAATACTAAGCATGCATCTCAGGGCTGTTCAATAAAATGTGCGTATACATTTAGAGAAAACAAACTTGTAACTAAACATTTTTGGTCTTTTTTTTTTTCTTTTTCTTTTTGTTGGTTGTGGAGCTTGAACTCAGGGGCCTGAGTGCTGTTCCTGAGCTCTTTGCTCAAGGCTAGTGCTCTACCTCTTGGAGTGGTAGAGCGCTAGCCTTTTGGTCTTTGTTTTTTCTTCCAAAAATGAGTTTGGGACTGAGTCATTGCACAGTTTCTTACAAAGCCAACAACCCATTCAGAGTGGTGGACAAGAAAAGATTTCTTGAGCAAGACAGATGCTCGTACCTGCTCAGATCTCCACAGCAACATCCCTGCCTAGCAGGGACTGAGGCAGCAATAGCTTAAGTGCTTTCCCAAAGAACCCCAGTGCTCCCTCCTGGCTCCTATTGAGCACATCCCCAACGCCACCCAAGGACAACAGAGAATGACCAGAGGTCCTATGAAAACCCCACCCCCACCTCACCAAGCCCCCAGGGAAGTGGTGACATTCTCATTTCTTCTCTCTCCTTCTCCTAGGAATACCCTCGATCCAGCCAGAGGGAAGAACAGGTGAGTGTCACCAGGCCCCCCTGGGGAGGGTATGGCTATCCCAGCTACTAACAAACCAGGCAGGTGGCTAGGGACACAGCTGGCTGGCATTACTGGGCTAGATAAAGGGTAGGGTAAGAGAGGCTTGACCGTACATACCCTGGTCTTTCTGATTGTTTCCTTAGAGGATGGACTATGCATGCCTAGCGCGTGCCTGTAATGGAAAGAGGAGGCAAGGCTGAAGCTAGTTCTGAAGTTTCAAAATTACCTTGAGTTGGGCTGGGAAGGTGGTTCAGTGGTAGAGCGCTTGCCTCGCAAGCATAAGGTCCTGGGTTCGATTCCTCAGCACCATATAAGTAGAAGAAAAAAAAAGCCGGAAGTGGCGCTGTGGAACAAGTGGTAGAGTGCTAGTCTTGCACTAAAGAGCTGAGGGACAGCACCCAGGCCCCATGACAAAAAAAAAAAAGTTATAGAATGCTAGCTTTGAGTGAAAAAGCTCAGGGACAGCACTCAGGTCCTGAGGTCAAGCCTCAGAAAAGAAGAAAAAGGAAGGAAGGAAAGAAGGAAGGATGGAAGGAAGGAAGGAAGGATGGAAGCAAGGAAGGAGGGAGGGAAGGAAGGAAGGAGGGAGGGAGGGAAGGAAAGAAGGAAGGATGGAAGGAAGGAGAGAAAGAACCCATGCCCATGCCTAATGTGTCCTCATTTTTCATGAGCCTTGAGTGCTAAGGATCAAGCACTGCCTCTCATGCCCTTTACCCTAACTGACTTCATCTAATAGCTCTCCTCCCTGCCCTGCCTGCACAGACATCATCTCCATGGCCTGGGCACAATGCTCTCGCTAGCACACTGTACAACACTGTCCTGCTGTCCCAAGCCTGGAAACTTCCCATGGATAGACACCAGGTCTATCCCAAAAACTCAGGGCAGTTTTTCTGTCCATAAGAAACACCACTAGATGTTTGTGGAAGGAAAAAGAGATGAGAATGGAGGAGGAACGAACAAGTTTATGAATGAATGGACCAATCCAAGGTGTTTCCACAACTCGGAGGACAATTGAAAAAGTATCTCCATATGCCAGGCCCCAGGTTGGCCTTGCCTTTCCATGCTTTCCAAGATAGCTCCCCTTTGCTGCCTTTCTGTTCTCTACCTTTTCTCTCTTACTGGAGTATGTTTGGGATAAATGGTTCAGGGCCTTCTGTGTGGGACAGGACCATCCATAGAAGGTGGGCAAGAGCCTCTAGTGGGCAGCAAGGGCATCATGGGAAAGCAACTAGATGCTCTGCTGCCATCAGACAGAACAGACTCCCACGCAACATCAAAGGGAAGTGCCCACAGGAGGAGGTAGTGGGTGGGCCTCTGCTGATCTAAAGCTGCACCTTGCCCATGTCCACTGCACTGGGCACCTGTTCCCCACACCTCAGAGCCAGCTGATCCAGAGGACAATGAGGTTTCCAGACCTTGAAATATTCTCTTATTCCCTCACTGTGTATAAAATCCTAGACAAGATCCTTAGATGGTCAACCCCTAAGTCTTAAGAGATTCTCTGCCTTCTACAATTATCTTTAAGTGTGCATGCCTCTGGGATAAGTGATAGTCTAAGAAGTTACCAGTTAATGCCCCCAGACAGGGCTGCATCCCCATGGTTCCCAAGGTTAGGCATCAATTTAAGTGAACCAGGCTCAGGATTAGTGAGAGGATGCAAGGAGGAAGGCAGCAGGTATGCCAGTGGTCTGACCCTAGTCAAGCTGCCTTCCAGACTACCTTCCTTCCTGTCTAACCTCTTCTCCCTAGAACGTCTGCTAATTCCAATATTGGTATTGCCAAGAAAGATGGGAACAGACTAATTTTCTCAAAGTTATTTTGAGTCACTTCTTTCAAAAGGCCCTGGAAGTCACCTATTATCAAGTACACACGCATGCTCCTCCAGTCATGGTGTAAATAGAAAGCTTTTTAATTTTTTTAATTTTTATGCATTGAACTGGTGTTATGCAATGCCTGGGTGTTATTCCTTGGCTTTTTCACTTAAGTGCTCTAGCACCTGAGCTCCAGCTCTCTCTCTCTCTCTCTCTCTCTCTCTCTCTCTCTCTCTCTCTCTCTCTCTGTCATAACGTTTGAACTCAGGGTCTGGGCACTGTCCCTGAGCTCTTTTGCTTGAGGCTACCACTTTGAGCCACAGTTCCACTTTCTGTTTTTGAGTAGTTAATTGGAGATAAGAGTCTCACAGGGTCTGTTCTGCTGGGGTTGGCTTTGAACCATGATCCTCAGATCTCAGCCTCCTGAGTAGCTAGGATTCAGGTGTGGGCCACTAGCACCCAGCTATTTTTTTTTCTAGTTAATTGGAGTCTCGTGGACCTTCCTGCTCTGAGTAGCTAGGATCATAAGTGTGAGCCAAGAGCACTGAGTACTTTGCAGCTTTTGGATCAATTTGTTCAAAGCTGCCCACAGAGCAGGACTGAAAGCTAAAGCTCCAGTCTACTGGACTAAAGTACCTCCCATGTCTCCAGAGGGTATTGGGGACTGTGGAATTCCACTCCCCTTTTACAGAAAGGACGACAGGATGGGCTTTGTACCTGCTATGGAGACACTTATGACTGAATAATTGACGATCTAGCAGATGAACCTATAATTCCATCACTCTAGATGCTTACAGCCAGGAGAAACAGGAGCGGGGACACGTGGGAAGGCCTCTGGAAATCAGAGAGGCAGATAAGACTCCTTAACCACCAGTTACATAAAGAACTCTCCCTAGGTGCAGAGGACAGCCAGGGTTCAGAGAGTCCCAGAGAAGGCTTCCCAGAGGATGCTGCACACCCTCGCTTCACTGGATGTCACAGCTGATCAGCTGCAGGCCAACTCCATCTTCCATGTGTCTCCTGTCCTCAACCCCAGCATCAGATGTCAGGCCTATACTGGAGAAATTCAATGCCTTTCTTCTAGGACTCAGCCAGTGTCAAACACTTACGGTGCACAAATACATTGTTAGCCTGTGGACAGCTAGAGTGAGCCTGCCCTCCCTTGCACTGAGGCTCCAGCTCGGTGTGCTACCAAGATGAGCCTCATATACTCTGTAACCCATCCCCAGCACCCAGTATGGGGCTCAATAAATGAATGACCAGTGATTGGCTTCCTTTGTTATGCAGGGTGGAAGGTGGGATATCAATCCAAAGGGCCTTTTTCAAAGTTGCAAAGAGAAAGACTATAAGCCTGGGTCTGTCCTTGGGTAGGTAAAGAGTTTAAGACATAGGTAAAGATGACAGGCAGAAGACAGGCACCAGTGGCTCACGCCTGTATTCCTAGCTACTCAGGATGTTGAGATCTGAGTATCACGGTTCAAAGACAACTTGGGCAGGAAAGTCCAATAAACCACCAGAAAACTGGAAGTGGTGCTGTGGCTCAAGTGGCAGAGCGCTAACCTTGAGCTAAAGAGCTGAGGGACAGCGCCCAGGCCCCAAGCTCAAGGTTAGAAATTGTCATAGAAACTGTCACAGAAGCACTGATGCTCATTAAGAGAGACAAGATGGTTTTTCTCTTTCTGCTTTCAATCCTGAGATCTCAGCCTTTTGAATCGCTAGGATTACAAGCATGAGCCACCAACATCCAGCCCCATTGTGGCCTTTTTAAACTTTTTTGATGCCAGTCCTGGGCACTGTCCTTGAGCATTTTTGCTTTACCACCAGAATCACAGCTCCACTTCTGGCTCTTTTCTTTTCTTTTCTTTCTTTCTTCCTTCTTTCTTTTCTTTCTTTCTTTTTTTGATGGTTAATTGGAGGTAAAAGTCTCATGGACTTTCCTGCCCATGCTGGCTTCAAACCACAAGTCTCAGATCTGACTCCTGAGTAGCTAGGATTACAGGTATGAGTCATCAGTGTCTGACTCCACCATGATCTTTTAAAGTGGGCAATTGGATCCCATCTATCCCTTGTTAGCCAATCCAATGCAGTCCTTGGATAAGCAAGAAGGACATCTATTTTTTGTTTTTTGCCAGTTTTGGGGCTTGAATTCAGGGCCTGGGTCCTGTCCTTGAGCCTCTCTGTGTTCAAGGCTAGCGCTCTACCATTTGAGCCACAAACTTACTTCTGGCTTTTTCTGTGTATATGGCACTGAAGTATCAAACCCAGGGCTTCATGCATGCTAGGCAAGCACTGTACCACTAAGCTATATCCCCAGCCCAGGATATACTTTTTAACTTTTTGTTTTTGTTTGGTCTTTTTTTTTTTTTTCCGTACTGGGGATCAAACCTAGGACAGTGCACTTGCTAGGCAAACACTTTGCCAGTGAGCTACATCCCAGCTCAGGAAGGATATTCTTCTTGAAGCTTCCAAGGCACTGTGCTCCCCTCAATCCTCATGACTACTACTGAATTCTTTTTTTTTTTTGGGGGGGTCCGGTCATGGGGCCTGAACTCTGGGTCTGGGCACTATCCCTCAGCTCTTCAGCTCAAGGCTAGCACTCTACCACTTGAGCCACAGCGCCACTTCCGGCTTTATTCTTTTTGCTTATGTGGTGCTGAGGAATCGAACCCAGGGCCTCATGCATGCAAAGCAAGCGCTCTACCACTGAGCCACCTTCCCAGCCCCTAAAAGACAGTTTAGAACCAGGAATGGTGCCATATACCTGCACTCAGAAGGCTGAACTCCCAGGAGTTGATACCAGCCTACCTACCTGAGGCCATGAACCTGACTGAAGTTCCCTATTTCCAGGTTCAATTAACTCCTTCCTATTCTTTCACAATACTTGTCCATATTTGTCCCTTTCTTTCTTTTGGTCAGTCGTGGGACTTGAACTCTGGGCCTGGGTGCTGTCCCTCAGCTCTTCAGCTCAAGGTGAGTGCTCTACCACTTGAGCCACAGTGCCATTTCCAGTTTTCTGGTGGTTAATTAGAGGTAAGTCTCACAGACTTTTCTGCTTGGGCTGGCAGATCCTCAGATCTCAGCCTCCTGAGCAGCAAGGATTACAGATGTGAGCCACTGGTGCCCGGCACTTGTCTCCCCTCCCCCCCTTTTTTTTTTGGTCATGGGGTTTGAACTGTGGGCTTGAGCGCTGTCCCTCAGCCCTTCAGCTCAAAGTGAGCTACCTCTTAAGCCACAGTGCCATTTCCGGTTCTCAAAGCTCTACTTGGAGATAAGTGTCTCACGGACTTTTCTGCCCAGGCTGGCTTTGAACTGTGATCCTCAGATCTCAGCCTCCTGAGTAACTATTATAGGCATGAGCCACCAGCATCCTTTCTTTTCTTTTCTTTTTTTGTTGGTCGTGGGGCTTGAACTCTGGGCTTGGGCACTGTCCTTGCGCTCTTCAGCTCAAGGGGAGCCCTCTCCCGCTTGAGCCACAGCGCCACTTCCGGTTTTCTAGTGGGTTTTATTGGAGATAAGAGTCTCACAGACTTTCCTGCCAGGGCTGGCTTTGAACTTTGATCCTCAGATCTCAGCCTCCTGAGTAGCTAGGAATACAGGTGTGCCACAGCTTTTGTTCCTTTCTTACAGTGCATTAACCACAATTAAAATATGTATTGTCTAAATGTGCTGGCACGTGTCTGAAACCCCAGCAAAGTGACAGGCATAGGGAGGATCACTGTCTGAGGCTGCCCTGAGCAAGAAGCACAAGGTCCTACCTAAGAAACACCTAGAGAGCAAGAAAGGTCTGGAGGTATGATTCAAGTGGTATATAGCACCTGCATAGTTCAAATTCAAAGTGCCAGATTGCTTGTCATTTGTATGTCACTACTTGTTTCCCAGGGCTTAATGAAACTCATATTTGTTAACTGACTGATTCTCAGATATTACACAAGCTAATCAATCCTTGCAACTTCCATCATTCCCAGAGGCCTTTCAGAAACTGGGCATGGTGGTGCAGGCCTGTGTCCCAGCTGTGATGGGAGGAGCACCCATTCATGGCTGTGCTTCCAAGGGTTCACTGTGGTCACCCAGCCAGCAAAGGGATTTAGACTTTAGTCTCACATTTGAAATCTGGGAGGTTCAAAGCCATATAGGAGAGGGAAGAGCAGGGATTTGGTGCAGGATGGTTTGACTACACATTCCCACTCCTAGCACTTGCAAGTATCAGAAAGAATCACAAGGGCCTCAAATGAATTCCTTCTTAGCTGGGTTTATCTGGGTAGCACATTTCCAAAGACCAAACCACCAAGAGGACCTTCCAGATCAACTTAGGAAATGTGACATCCTCTCTCTCTTAGAAAACCTCAATGGCAGCTGGGCGTTGGTGGCTCACGCCTGTAATCCTAGCTACTCAGGAGGTTGAGATGTGAGGATCGCAGTTCAAAGCCAGCCCAGGCAGGAAAGACCGTGAGACTCCTATCTCCAATAAACCACCAGAAAACCGGAAGTGGCGACAAAAAAAAAAGAAAACCCCAATGGCGCAAGAGGCGCTGTGGCTCAAGTGGTAGAGCGCTCGCTTTGAGCTGAAGAGCTGAGGGACAGCACGCAGGCCCAGAGTTCAAGCCCCATGACCGACAAAATAAAAATTAAAAAATAAACAGAAAACCCCAATGGCCACCAGCCTACCAAAGGTTTTGAGAAGCTTGGAAGAAACAATGGTATTTAACTTTTATTTTGTCGGTCATTGGTTTTGAACTCTGGGCCTGCGTGCTGTCCCTCAGCTCTTCAGCTGAAGGCAAGCGCTCTACCACTTGAACCAAAGTGTCACTTCTCGTTTTCTGGTGGTTAACTGGAGATAAAAGTCTCAGGGACTTTCCTGCCCCAGCTGGCTTTGAACTGTGATCCTCAGATCTCAGCCTCCTGAGTAGTTAGGATTATAGGTGTAAGCACCAGAGCCCGGCTTTTAACTTTTATTGAATTCAGTGTTTTCCAAATTTATTTGACCATCGTACCCTTTTGCTCATACTTTTGTAGTTAATGGAACATTTGGAGAATGCTGAAATGGATGCTTTCCCAGTAAATATGGAGAAGACTGACACAACTGTCCACTTGAGGGCATGTGTAAGGGGCTGATGAAAGCTATGTGGGCTGAGTCAGCTTAAGGAATGACTCAGAGGCCAGCACAAACAAGAATGTAACCCAATGCGCAATGTAAAGCCACATGAATTCTTGCGCGGGGAAGCGATGGCACGTCTTGATGGTAGGACATTGTTGGTTTTTCCTAATCCACGTTCAGTGCCAGCTAAGAATTTTGAAGCCAAGCAAAGGCCTTATTTTTGCAGCTGTGATGTCTTAAAGGGACTGCACAAGGAGGCAAGCCTGCTCAAGCAGTTAATGGAGACTACAGAGCCTTCCCTAGTTTCACAGGTCTCCCTGTCTCACTCATTTCTATGTATTAAATAACATAAAAACATACCTTAAACCTTCCAAGTAGCTTAAGGTTGGGTGCTGGTAGTTCATACCTATAATCCTAGCTACTCAAGGAAACTGAGATCTGAGGATACAGCTTTGAAGCCAGTCTGGGCAGAAAAGTCTGAAAACTCTTACCTCCAATGAACAACAGGAAAACTGGAAGTAGAGCAGTGATTCAAAGTGGTAGAGCAGTAGCCTTGAGCAAAAGAACTCAGGCACAGTACCCAGGCCCTGAGTTCAAGTCCCAGGACTAACCAAAACAAAAAGCAAAACGAAAATCCTTCAAGAATCTCAAGTAAAACCCAAGAGTTTCTGAAGATTCAGTTGGAGCACCTGGTTCTACTCATACCTGGATTGGGAGTTAGCCCAAGCTTCTTGTGTAGAAACATGTCACCTTGTTTCCAAGTAATATGGAAGTTGCCAGAATGATCACTTCATAAAAAGGAAAAGAGGACCCCTTACTAGAAGCAGCAGCACCCATCTAAGAACAGGATATCAACCATACCTCTATAGCAGAGTGTCAGATAACTTTGGAATGCAGCAAATATGAAGTAGGTTTTCAGAAAAGCATACTCAAGAATTAAGACTGATTTGGGCTGGGAAGGTGGCTCAGTGGTAGAGTGTTTGCTTTGCATGCATGAGGCCCCAGGTTCAATTCCTCAGAACCACATAAACAGAAAAAGCTGGAGGTGGCGCTGTGGCTCAAGTGGTAGAGCGCTTGCCTTGAGCTAAAGAGCTGAGGGACAGTGCCTGGCCCAGAGTTCAAGCCCCACAACCGACAAAAAAAAAAAAAAGACATGAATAAAGTTAGGTGCAGTGGCTTGGTCCTCTCATCACCACTATAAAGGGAAGCATAAATGTGAGGATCATTGTCAGGTTAGACACTTCCCTCCACTCCATAATGGTGAGACCCTATTTAAATAGTACCGAAAGCAAAAAGAAAAAGAAAAAGACTGATTTGACAAGGATGAAGGTCTCTATCTCACTAGAACACTGGGAAGAAGACTTGGCGCCAACCTGAGGAACAGCACAAGTAAACAAACTCTCAAGCCCTTAAGTGGTGGCAGCAGGACTTGCATTGCAATGTATTACACAAGAAGGAAGAGACAAACTGATATTTTGATCCCAGGGGCATTTTTTACCTCTGGGCAATCCTATTTCCTGCTTAGTGACATTCATTGGCATCGCTGAAGACACCACAAGGGAAGTGAGTAATTACACTGCCCCCATCAGCAGGAAACGGTCTGGAAGAAGCAGTCATACACAAGTTTGTGGCCAAAAGTGCCAGAATAAAACCAGTTAAGACCCAAATCCAGAGTTCCTAGCACACATCACATGCTTTTAGCAGAGGTATTCCAATTTATTTATTGCCAGTCTTGGGGACTGAACTCAGGGCCTGGGCACTGTCCCTGAGCTTCTTTTTGCTCAAGGCTAGCACTTTACCACTTTAAGACACAGCACCATTTCCCGATTTTTCTGTTTATTGGTACTGAGGAATTGAACCCAGGGCTTCATGCATGCTAGGCAAGCACTCTACCACTAAGCCATGTTCCCAACCTGGCAACTGCTTTTAAAAGGAAAAAAGCCAGATAGGTCTAGAACTACCCTTGAAAATGATCTATACATCTAAATACTGCTTTTTCTTATGTTCTAGAAGGAATGTGTCCGTCCAACCAGAAAGCTGTGGTTTGTGTACATTGATTTTAGATGCTAGACCCAACCTTGATCTGGGTCAGCCAACTTGCCCATGTCCTTGGTGGACAACTCCATTCTGGATTATTCCTAACCCAGCCATGCAACCTGTTGAAAAAGGGAATAAAAGCTAAACACAAGTCAAAGCATCATTTTGACATTTACAGGGGACTGTATTGCTAAAAATTACTCAGAATGATTCACCATTCCCATGTGAGACATGGGAAAGCAACAGAGGGCACCAGGTGACCAGCCCTCATGAGAGCAAAGTGTGGGAGTTGGCTGCAGAGAGAAGCAAGGCTTGTCTGTTGCTGTGACTCAGCAGTGAGATTTCATGAGCCTCAACTCTTTCTCATCTGAAAAAGGCTCTTCTCTCCCTACAGTATTGGGAAAACTGAAGGGAACTATGTATGCAAAGGAGTAGTTTGTTCCTAAATCAGAAGCAGTACTAGAGTGAGGTATATCTTGTTTCCTTGTTTCAAACTGTAGTCCCCAACTTGTTGCTTCTTGAGATCAACTAAAATCAACTCATCTCAAAGTCTTCAACTTCATTAATATTCTTCACATAAAAGCATCTAGAAACATGGCTACTTGTAAAGAAATCTATCTTAACTAGAAGGGATGACTACTCATCAAGGAATCAAAAAGCAGAGGAAGCCAGTGGTAGCAAGGAGGCATTGTATCAAGTGAGTCAGAGTAGAATGAGTATTCTGTCTTCACTGTTTATGCATCATCTTGAGCTCCTTCTGAGAAACCCTGAGATTTCCTTCTGAAAAATTAGTGTTCAAGCTGGAAGTGGAGCCATGGCTCAAGTGGTAGAGGACTAGCCTTGAGCAAGAACTCAGAGACAGGGCCCAGCATAAGCTCAAGCCCCACAACAGAACCCCCACCCCCCAAAAAAACCTCCCACTTTCCCTGCCTACCCAGGACCTGAACTGAGTATCTCATACTTTTGCTCATTGGCTGGTGCACTACCACTTGTGCCATGCCACCAACCCAAAGGTCTTAGGGTCTTCTGCTCCTGAGTTACTTAGTTCACTTTCACTAATGTCCAGCAGCTGATGGACCCCTTAGGGTCTTTATTCTACCTAAAGTTTTTTTTTTTTGGGGGGGGGGCCTTGAACTCAGCCTGGGTACTGTCCCTGAGCTCTTTTGCACATGGCTAGTGCTCTACCACTTTTTTTTTTTTTTTTGGTTAGTTGTAGGGATTGAACTCTGGGGCTGGGCATTGTCCCTCAGTTCTTCAGCTGAGGCAAGCACTCTATCACTTGAGCCACAGCACCACTTCTGGTTAACTGGAGATGAGTCCCACAGGGAATTTCCTGCCCGGGCTGGCTTTGAATCATGATCCTCAGACCTCAGCCTCCTGAGTAGCTAGAATTACAGGCGTGAGCCACCAGCACCCGGCTTGCTCTACCACTTTGTGCTACAGCTCCACTTCTGGTTTGGGGGTGGCTATTTGGAGTCTCATGGACTTTGCTGCCTGGGCTGGCTTCAAACCACAATCCTCAGCTCTCAGCCTGAGTAGCTAGGATTACAAGCATGAGCCACCAGCACCAGGTTTTCAAACTCCCTTCCCTATCTTTCCCCTAAACACTACACCAAGGGGCACAACTAAGACTCCAGCCTTGCAGAGGACTCTTAGTTTGCCCACAAGGCTATGTTCTTTTTTTTTTTTTTGGTCGGTCGTGGGGCTTGAACTCTGGGCCTGGGCCCTGTCCCTTAGATCTTCAGCCCAAGGCGAGTGCTCTACCACTTGAGCTACAGCGCCATTTCTGGTTTTCTGGCGGTTTATTGGAGATAGGAGTCTCACAGTCTCTCCTGCCTGGGCTGGCTTTGAACCTTGATCCTCAGATCTCAGCCTCCTGAGTATCTAGGATTACAGGCGTGAGCCACCAGCGCCTGGCTAATCTTATAACTTCCAGTCTGTGAGCAAAATCATTCCAACAATTACTACTCCTTTCCTTTCTTAAGAAGAGATGGAAATACCCAGCTTCTGTGTTCCTTTGAGTGATGAAGTGAAAATGAAGTTACTTCCAGAAACACAAACTGGAAGAGGGGTGCAATTAGATGTGACACAATTCACTATTGGAGAACATGCTTGTGGATAAAGGAATTTAGTGGTCCTCCCCTGCACCATAATTCATTTGCCTCTAAAATCATAAGATGAATCCAATGAAAGAATGTGTAACACTGCTAGAGAAAACAAACCCTCAATGGACTATCAGCAGCTGCATCTTTCCATACATAAATGAGCACTCCAGATGAATCAGACATGTGCAGAGAACATGCTTTATTGAGTAGATGCTGACAGCACATTCTACCACATGTGGGGAAGGGTTTAGCATGTAAAAGGCCTTACCCCTTAAGAAAACCCCCAGTAAAGTTGCTTTTAGATACTCTGAACAGACACTAAAACTGGAGGGGAGCCTCCACTGAACATGCTTAACACCAGCTCCCCTCAACCCACAGTGAATATAAGTAGTGTACAGAGATGACAAGAGAAAGGCACAAATGACCAGAGTTGGGACTGTGGTGAGGGCGCCACATGAAGACAGCAGTGCTGGGACCAAGTTGGGAAGGGCGACATGTTAAGACATCAAAAGCTGCCCCAAGATAACAGATTATAACCGGCTAGGGAGAAATTAGAGGGAACATCTTTTCCTTGAACATCACCAAAAATAGGAGACCAGAGACTAGGAGAATGGTGGTACATCCTACAAAGGAAACGGAGGAGGAGTTCTTGGAGGGGCAGAAGCATTTAGCCTAGAGGAAGGTGAGGCACTGTTGAAAAGATGAGCAAATGGTGGCAGGGTGGCCATTCTGCCTTGCTGAGTCATGGGCTGAGACCACTTTCCACTTCTCCAGGACGCTCTGGACAAAAATCAGTGCAACTTATGAGGAAAAAGTAGGTATCTTATACCAGACTGGTACAGATTGGTGAAAAGGTTCTATAGTATTAGTAACCAGTGAACATGTAGTATGAAAGAACTCGAAACTATTTTGGCACCTGCAAACATAAAAAGGGCCAGCGAATAAGAGAAGACATTTACTGCTAGACATTTCCTGGTGAAGCAAGAATTACCAATTCCCTTCCACCAAGACATTGCCCACAGAACATAAATCAAAATGCAAAATCTCCACCTCTTATTCCTCTCCCCATCTCATTCAGATGGAGTAGGTGCTTTTTTAAAGATTAATCCCTGGGAAACGTCAGAATTACTTGGCTCTGATCAGCCCGATGGTGATCAAAAATAAGTCTTTCCATAAAAATAGCAGAAAGAAGTTTTAAGACAAAATCCAAGGTGAATGGATCCCTCAAACACATGTACTCACAAATGCTGCCTCTTCCCTACCATCCCACAAAATATGTATGTAAGGAGTAACTAGAAGGGTCCCTGTGGTGGTAGCCATGTCTGGAGATCTGGTAACCAGATGGGAAGAAGCTTGAGTACAAAGTTCAGAGGACAAGATACACCTCATGGGGCTAAAGGACATGAGGAGGGAACCAGTGACTGGACAAGTACAGTACCATAACAGAACTCCTTGGGTCAGTGCTATGAGGGATCTGCACTTGAGTCTAATACAGATCTCTCCAGGCAACCTCACTGAGGCCGAAACAATAGTTCCTCAGAACCAGCGTCTGCAGTGTACACAAAAGGCGGAGCCAGGACAGTCCTGAGGGGGATGGCCTTCCCAAAGGATACTGTACTTGCCAATCACAAGAACAACAGAAATGACAGACAGATCCCTAGGGTACGGATTCCTACTGCTGGGGTTCGCTGGCTCAGAAAGACAGATCACTTTAAGTGCCTTTCGGAGGGGTCCACTTTAAGCAGCTTGGATCCATAGTTTTATTGGAGTTGGACCTTTTGGCCTCTTTGGCTATCCATTCATCAATCAGGTCCTAGAAAAAAAAGAGAGAACAAATGAGTATTAGTGGAGGAATTGCCAAATTTAATAATATATTAAGATATAAGATATTATTCTTTTGATCTGACTGTTTTCCTACCTAATCCTTGTCTTCCTACTTTGCCCTTAGTGGGAACAAAAAAATCATTATTTACCTAAAGTTGGCATATTAAATGAGATGGAACCTATTCAAACAATCTAAAACCATTATCACAAACTCGGAATTTTTGAGGACTCCCTTCTACAGCTAGCCATTTCACTAACCTAAGAAAACAGAAGTGCTGTACAACAGAAAGCTGCTTAACATGTGTCATCAGAATCTGAGACAGGAGCTTACCAAAATTTCCTGATTAGGACAAGGTAGGATATAAGTAAGATTAGTAACGTAAGGTCATAGAGCTCTTCCTATCAGCTAAAGAAATGAGGCCAATGGAAGGTGCCTAGAAGAGGAATTACTTTGTGGGTGGCAGGGTAAGGCTCTGCTAAATTTCCAGGACACCTAACCTAACAAGCAACTGGTGAAAACCTCACCTGTCTCTTTAAAACCAGATGTTTTCCTTTCCAATATTTAAGCATCTGAAGGGCTTGCAGAGTGCTAACGATGTCCACAGGATTCACAGCTGTCTCCTGGCTAATTTCTGTAAACACAAGAGTTACTGAAATTGGGTCACAGTATAGATATTACCCCCAACCAAGACCTCCTTTCACTTAGAGAAATCCAAAAGGACCAGAATCTTTGGTACTTAAGATGTTACACCAAGAAGCTACTCTTGCAACCTTAGAAATCAAGGTCAAATATAGACCACACTGAATTCTTCCACCTTTCCAAAGGAGATGTGTCTTCTGTTTGTGGGGCTTGAACTCAGGGCCTGGGCACTGTCCCTGAGCTCTTTTGCTCAAGGCTAGTGCTCTACCACTTGAGCCACAGCACCACTTCCAGTTTTCTGGTAGTGAACTGGAGATAAGAGTCACAGACATTCCCTGCCCAGGCTGGCTTTGAACCATAATCCTTATTATATTTCAGCCTCCCAAGTAGGATTATAGGCATGAGCCACTAGCACCCAGCAAGATGTACAGATGTATCTTTCATCGAGGCTCCTGTGTATGTCAAAATAGGAGGCCTTCCCTCCTCATATTCAGACGGAACACAGAATAGGCATTAACTTTGAGGTGACAAAGCAGGAACAGAGCCAAATGGAAAAGTTAAGACTATCTACGGGGTTAACCACCTTTTACAGGAGACAAAAACCAACCTTTGATAGAAATCTCTTTGCCTTGGAAATTATGCAAATAACGGAGAAGCACTTCTTTCCAGTAACTGCGATAGCTTATGAGCCCCAGATCAGAGAGTGGACGTTCTGGGGAGCCAACCTTTTCTTCTACTTTGGAAAGCAAATAACCTGCCAGAGAACAAACATAGACTTTTTCCAACAACACTGAATCGCATCCTAATAGCAAAGAATAGTGTGCCAACATGGAAGGTTTAAGAAATCTGGGGGC